AAGCTGCCCATGTTCTGTCATAGAATGATAATGTGTGGGAGTGGGAATTTCTGTTCCTTCTGCTCAATACGTTCAGCCTAAGAAATATTATTGCAAGTTATCCGTTCATTTCTGTACATTTCTCACTCTTGCCTTGCTTGTCATGAGCTACAGCCCGTCCTCAGGGTGTCTGATGAAATGGGGAAGGTCAGCTCGGTTAATCCACAACACTGACACCAAACTGAGTGGCGCAGTTGATTTGCCACAGGGAAGGAATGGTGTCCAGAGGGAAGTGGATAGGCTGGAGTAGCTGTTCCTTGTAAATGTCATGAAGTTCTAGAAGGCCAAGTGGAAGGTCCTGCACCTGGGTCGGTACAATCCACAGTTTCAATACATAGAGGGGGAGTGAGAGCAACCTTGTGGAGGATGACTGGGGGTGCTGGTGGGTGACAAATGGGACATAAGCTGGCCATGTGCTGTCGCTGTTCAGAAAGCCAGTCATATCCTCAGCTGCATAACAAGTAGCGCGGTCAGCAGGTCGAGGGAGGGTGTTCTCCTCCTCTACTCCACTTTCATGTGACCCTATCTGGAGTGCTGTGTCCAGCTCTGGGGCCCACAGCTGAAAAAGATATGGGGCAGTTGGAGTAGGTCCAGAGAAGGACCAGTAAATGAAGAAAGGACTGGAAGAATCCTACTTGCTGTGTAGAAGGGCTAAGAGAGTAGAGGTTCTTCAGCTTGGAGAAGAGAAGGCTCTGGGGAGACCTTATTGCACCTTTTTATAATATGAAAGGGGACTTTATGAGAAAGAGAGAAACGTTTTTGTCAGGGTGTGTCATGACAGGATAATGGGCAATGGTTTTAAAATGAAAGAGGGTAGGTTTCAATTGGCTCACTGTTTTTATGATCGGGGTGGTGAGACACGGAAACAGATTTCCCAGAGAACTTATCAATGTGCCATCACTGGAAAATCTCAGGGTCTAGTTGGACAGGGCTTTGGGCAATGTGATCTAGTGAAGGATGTCTCTGCCCATGACAGAGGGGTAGGACTAGGTGATCATTAACGGTCCGTTTTGACCCAAACCATTTTATGCTCCCCTGAAAATGTCAGCTTGGCTTTGACCTTTCTGTTGTCAGACCCTCAAGTATAGAGAAGGAAAAGAAGAAAATTCTATTAATCACAAATGAATCAGTACGTATTCTTCTGCTATCTTAGCATCGAGCTATAGACACTATCTTCAGGGTGACAAATTTCTCAGTGTAACTGTTGTTCTCCCTAAAATAAAAATCAACAGTGGGACAAACATCGGAGACATCCTTGAGCAAATGGAAGAAATGCAGGGAAGACAGAAACAACTTCCAGACATGACTTATACTTAATTCTATTTCTGACTGTTTATTGATTACACCAACACAAATATTTCCTTCTAAGATTCATCCTAGGTGAGGAAATCAGAATTGAAAGGAATTGACAGAATGCTATAACGCTCTTAAAGTCTTCCCTACCTATAAAATATTTCTTCCTCTTATACTTCCACCTGGATTTTGTAAAGAGCAACTGAGTTCCTTTATTTACTGCTCTGCCAGTAATATTTCCAACCGACGATTCGCTGCAGCTGAAGGAGATGACCCAAAAGTACGTGGCAGCCTATCTCACTTTTAAAAGCCTTTGGAGTTGCAGTAGGATTCGCTGCTCTTCCTCATTATCATAAAAGAGGAACTTAAAGCTGGGGACGGACACTGAACACCAGCCGAAAGCCTGGTCCCCCGGCAGCGCGGTCACCGGCCGGCTGCAGTATCGTGGCGGCGCCTCCGGGTGCCGCTGTTGGCCGACGCGGAGCGGCGCTGGAGCCGCAGCCGCAGCCGGAGCCGGCGCAGCGTCAGGAGGGAGGAGCGCGGCGAGCGCTGGCGAGAATGGCGGTCGGTGAGAGGCAGCGGGAGAGTGGGAGCCGGCGGCGAGCAGGCGGGCGAGTGCTGGTGCTGCTGCTGGGCGCTTTGCTGCTGGGCTTGTGCTGCCGGGCGGCGGCGGCGGCGGCGTCGGAGCGGATCCGCTACGCCATCCCCGAGGAGCTGGGCAGAGGGTCGCTGGTGGGGCCGCTGGCGCGGGACCTGGGGCTGAGCCCGGCGGAGCTGCCGGCGCGCAAGCTGCGTCTCAGCGCGGAGAAGCAATACTTCGGCGTGAGCGGGGAGAGCGGGAACCTGTACGTGAGCGAGAGGCTGGACCGGGAGGAGATGTGCGGCGAGTCGGCGTCCTGCTCCGTCAGCTTCGAGGCGCTGGTGCAGAACCCGCTCAACGTTTTCCACGTCGAGGTGGCCATCCAGGACATCAACGACAACGCGCCGACCTTCAGCAAGGCTGCTCTCGACCTCGAGATCGCAGAGTTGACGCTCCCTGGTGCTCGTTTTCCGCTGGAGATGGCCCGAGACGCGGACGTGGGCAGCAACTCTCTGCTGACGTACCAGCTCACTGGCAACCCGGCCTTCACTCTGGACGTCAAGGAGAGCCCGGATGGAAGCAAGTGGCCGGAATTAGTGCTGGAGAGAAAGCTGGACCGGGAGAAGCAGAGCTCCTTTGAGCTGGTGCTGACGGCGGTGGATGGCGGGGATCCCGTGAGGTCGGGGACTGTCCAGATTCGCGTCAACGTGACGGACGCCAACGACAACGCGCCCGTGTTCGGCAAAAGCCTCTACGAGGCCCAAGTGCGTGAGAACGTGCCGGCGGGGTCGCTGGTGCTGCAGGTGCGAGCCACGGATGCGGACGCGGGCTCCAACGGGCGGGTCTCGTACTCCTTCGGCAACGTCCCGGACGACGTCCGCGCCTTGTTCAGTGTCGAGAGCGAGAGCGGCGAGGTGAGGACAGTGGGGCCTCTGGATTTCGAGGAAAAGAGTAGATACAGCTTCGGGCTGGAGGCGAGGGACGGCGGCGGACTCACGGCTCACTGCAAGGTGCAGATCGACATCATCGACGAGAACGACAACGCGCCCGAGATCACGGTGTTGTCGGTGTCGAGCCCGGTGCCCGAGGACGCCCCCGCCGGCACCGTGGTGGCCCTGCTGAACGTGAACGATCCGGACTCCGGGGAGAACGGTCAGGTGTGGTGCGAGCTGTCGGGCGAGGCGCCGCTGTCGATCGTGGCGTCGTCGGGCGGCTCGTACAAGGTGGTGACGGCGAGCGCGCTGGACCGTGAGCAGGCGTCCGAGCACCGCGTGACGGTGGTGGCCAGGGACCGGGGCAGCCCGCCGCTGTGGAGCCGCGCGTCGCTGGTGCTGGAGGTGTCGGACGTGAACGACAACGCGCCGGTGTTCGAGGAGGCGGCCTACAGCGCGTACGTGGCGGAGAACAACGCGGCGGGCGCGTCGGTGGTGCGCGTGCAGGCGCGGGACGCGGACGCGGGCGCCAACGGCCGCGTGAGCTACTGGCTGGCGGGCGGCAGCGCGGGCGCGGCGGCGTACGTGTCGGTGGAGGCGCGGAGCGGCGCGGTGTACGCGCAGCGCTCCTTCGACTACGAGCAGTGCCGCGAGTTCTCGGTGGCGGTGCGGGCGCAGGACGGCGGGGCGCCGGCGCGGAGCTCCACGGCCACGGTGCGCGTCTTCGTGCTGGACCGCAACGACAACGCGCCGCGCGTGCTCTGGCCGGCGCCGGGAGACGCGGCGGCGTCGGGGGCGTCGGGGGCGTCGGGGCCGTTCGAGGTGGTGCCGCGCTCTGCCGAGGCCGGGTACCTGGTGGCCAAGGTGGTGGCGGTGGACGCGGACGCGGGGCGCAACGCGTGGCTGTCGTACGAGCTGGTGCAGGCGTCGGAGGCGGCGCTGTTCCGCGTGGGGCTGCACAGCGGCGAGGTGCGGACGGCGCGGGCCGTGTCGGAGAGGGACGCGGCGAAGCAGCGGCTGGTGGCCGTGGTGAAGGACCACGGGCAGCCGGCGCTGTCGGCCACGGCCACGCTGCACGTGGTGCTGGCCGAGAGCTTGCAGGAGGCGCTGCCGGAGCTGAGCGAGCGGGCGGCGGGCGCCGACTCGCCGGCCGAGCTGCAGTTCTACCTGGTGCTGGCGCTGGCGCTCCTCTCCGCCCTCTTCCTGCTCAGCGTGGCGCTGGCCGTGCTGGCGCGGCTGCGCCGGGCCGGGCCGCCCGCCGTCCTGCGCTGCCTGGGCGCGCAGCGCTTCTCCGTGGCCGGCGCCGCCTTCCCGGCCGACTTCTGCGAGGGCACCTTGCCCTACTCCTACAACCTGTGCGTGGCGCCGGGACGCGCCCTCGCCCAGCCCGCTTGGCCCTCGCCGCCGCCTCTGCCCGTCGTGCCCGCGGAGGATCTGCTGGGCGCGGAGCCCTGCGGGAAGCCGAGCCCGAGCATCAGCGCCGGCGCGGGAGAGCCGCCCGCCGACCCCGACGCCCCGCAGGTCTGTAAGCCCGCGCGCTCTCCCTCTTTTCCCTGAGCTGTGCTCAACCTCCCTCCCTAGTCCCCTGGGTTTTCGGCGGGGGTTCTTCTTCCATAAATTACTCCCTTCCTTTGAGATGAAGCTGTTGCATTCCTTTTTTTTTTCGGTGATTAAAGCGATTAGACCTGGTCGGTTCGGGTTCTACAGCTCTCATTTTGCGAAATTCGTACGAGTCTGTAATAGAGAAGGGGAATCCTCACTGTGTAGAACGACATGCGCTGCTTCTGCATGACAGACTCGGGACTGACACTTGGAGTTAGCGGTGGTTCCATTCCGGACGATTTTCCCCGGAACTGTATTGGTGGACCTGGTTGATTGTTGGACACAAACAGGTTTATTAATGCTTTTCCAACCCGTTGGTGAACGCTTTTTAGTCCTCGACTCGTGTGTTTGGCTCCATGAATGGATAAGAAGCAAACTTCTTCGCTAGTGAAATGGGAGACTATCGTCCATCATTTTGGGGAATGTTGCTGGTATGAATTGTGGGACGGCTTAAATTATTGTGATTGGGAGTGCTGATCCTTGTCTCCTTGAGGGAAGGAACCGAGTATCCCCCTTCTGCTCACAGCAGAAATCAATTGGAGGCACTTGTTGGTTTTTCAGTGGTCACAGGTTCAGGTGAGAGGTTTTGACTACAGCTCCTTCAGGAACGAAAATGTAGTGCAGGTCTGGCGTCAGAAGGAAAGATCTGTGTGGCTCCACAAATGGAAAAACTACAGGTTGTTTCTCCTCACTGTTAGAGAATGTGCTGCCTTTTCCGCCGTCTGTCCTCTCTTCATCCATTGGAGGAAGCCTGCTGTAAAAATGGAAGCATTAATGGGATGGATTAATATAGTCCTTTTTTTTACCCTTTCCTGATCTGTCTTTCATCCATACGTGAAGATGTAGAATGCGATCTCAAAAAAAAAAAAAAAAAAAAAAAAAAACAGAAAATAACCGCGTTTAGTATTTCAGAGCCTGTCTTCTCCTTTTCCAAAGAGTGGTGCTTGGACCTAGTTCATTGCGTTGACAGGGGAACACTATACTGAGGAATTGAGTCTGTCAGACACGTTTTGAAACAGTTGTTGGGTCTGCCGGTTTAAAAGCGGAGGCTTCTAGTCAGTCTGAGGACATAGGTAAAGCGAAGAGGATATACACAAAGAAACAGCAATTGCTAATGAACATCAATCTCTTACACCGTGTTTTGTGAGAAGAACCCTCCATGGTCATTCAAGCTATCGAATTACTTGATTAAATTTAATGTCTGCTCTTAAAAAGGGAAATCACACTTAAAGTCCTTCAATTTTACTTTTCCAGTGTTAGCTGTCTCTATAAACGCACCAACACTTTAGTGTAATTCAGTTTAGAGGGTAGGGCTCTCCCCACCCTGAGAATATACGTAAAAGACAACGGAATACCCAAGATGTTCGTTTACTTTGTGCAGAGAGAGTCGTCTCATGCGGTCCTACCGTATTTGGTGGAAGAGCTGTCCTACCAACATGAAGATTCAAGGACTAGATGAATACTTTACCATTAATCATTAATCAATTTCATTCGAATTTCTGAAAAAAAAAATATATCAGAATCCCTGCCTCTTGGGGTAATGAGATCCTCATTTTCCGGGTCCTGGACGGCGTTAATATCAGGTTCTCTATAGAAATAGCCTATTATCTGTTGCTGTCCTTGTACCAGTAATCAAAGATGACTGCCTCAACAATTTCTGGTGGGGACTGTGCTTTGGGACGAATGGGATACGACTCGTAGTATTCTAAAGGTCATATTTTGAAACATTATTTTCCTTTACATTTACTGCCATTACCAAGTGATTTTTCACCTGTGGCCGGATTAACAGTTTTTGTTAAGGAGCAGAAAGAATTGGGGTAAAGCCAACGCAGGGAATGACCGCTGCCCTCTGGGAGAGGATCTTCATTGCTGCTTTATTCTATTGGTCGGGATGTGGGGAAATAATGTGTCTGTCTGACGCCCTTCTGATCTGCAGAAAGGGAGAGGGAGAAGTAATGCAAGCCCGACTGCTACAACGAGCTGTGAAGACTGTGCGTTAAGACTAATGGGATAGGGTTTTTAATATTCTAAACGTAATGTTTTACTTTATATATATAGCCTTTAGCAAGACATTTTTCTCGTGCGATAGAAAAAACACAACAACGATCAGCCTTCCTGCTGATCGCCTCGAGGATCAAGGAAGAGACCTTCTGGAGAAAAAAAAATAGGAGGAGATCCCCGGGTGGCCGGGAAGCGCTGTCTCCGTGGCGAGTGTCCCGTCGGCGCGAGCTGCCCGTGGGAAAGGCGGGCGGGCAGCGGCGGGCAGCGCTCGGTGGCTGCAGTGCCGGGAGGAGGCTGCGGGCGCCGCTGTTGACCGAGGAGGAGCGAGAGGAAGGCCGGAGCGCTGCAGGCAGCCCCGCCCGCTGCGGCCCGGCTCGATCGCTCGCCCGATCGCTGGCTGGCTGGTTTGCTGGGCGGGCGAGCGTTCTGCGATCGTCCCCGCGGTGCGGAGCCGTGGTGCAGCGAGGCGGAGGGTGCGGCGGCAGCGGCCGGGAGCGGCGAGACGGTGACGGAGCCGAAGCCGGATCGGTAGCCGGATCGGGAGGCGGAAGAGCGGTCGGCGGTGTTGCGGTGCCGGCGGTGGGGCGGCGGAGATGTGGTCGGCGGGGAGGCGGTGGGTCCGGCGGGAGCGAGCCCTGCTGTGGTGCGTCCTGTTGGCGGCGTGGGAGGCGGCGTGGGGTCAGCTGCGCTACTCGATTCCCGAGGAGATGCCGAAGGGCTCGTTCGTGGGCGACGTGGCCAAGGACATGGGACTAGAGCTGTCAGCTCTCCAAGACGGCGGCGTCCACCTCCTGGACAAAGGTAGGACGCAGTATTTCTCTCTGCACGGGAAGACGGGACATTTAGTGACGGCGGAGAGGATAGACAGAGAGCAGCTGTGCCGGCTGGTGGAGAAATGCGTGCTGCGCTGTGAGGTGATCGTGGAGAAAGAAATGCAAGTTTACGAAGTCGAAGTGGAAATCACGGACATTAACGACAACGCCCCCAGCTTCAAGGAAACAGAGGTGGAGGAGAGAATGAGCGAGATGACAGCGCCGGGGTGGCGTTTTCCTTTGGCCGAGGCTCAGGACCCGGACGTGGGACGGAATTCCCTGCAGAGCTACGAGCTGAGCGGCGACGAGCACTTCTCGCTGGCCGTGCAGGCGGGCCCCGGCGGGGAGCAGCGTCCCGAGCTGGTGCTGGCGAAGGCGCTGGACCGGGAGGAGGCGGCGTTTCACGAGCTGGTGCTGAGGGCGAGCGACGGCGGAGAGCCGCGGCGGACGGGCACGGCGCGCATCCGCGTGTCGGTGCTGGACGCCAACGACAACGCGCCCGCGTTCAGCCAGGCGGAGTACACGGTGCGTGTGGCGGAGGACGTGCCCGTGGGCTCCGTCCTCGTCACCGTCACGGCCACCGACGCCGACGAGGGAGTGAACGGGGATGTTAAATACTCTATCAATAAAGCGACAGACCTGGCATCAGATTTTTTCCAGCTGGACCCTAAGACGGGAGCAATGACTTTAATGCGGAGCCTGGACTTCGAAGAAGGCAAC